TCTGCTTCTGTTTTTTGGGCAGCTTCAGGAGTTATCTATGGCCTTAATACTTAGATGGGTGTGTATTTTGGTATATTTTATGCTTTCTGAATGCCTCCAGGTAGATGTGATCAGGAAATGGGCTTCCCTTTTCACTCTTCTTCCTGAGAAGTTTGAAGATACCACTGTTGTCATTTTGACGTAACTTAGGATTTAATTTTCGGCCTATTTCCTCTTTTGTCTGCTTGTTCCACTCCACAATCCCCATTCAGTCCTTTTTTCTAGTTGAAACAGTTCAGGGCCGGCTGTGGCCGTTTGGTTTTAATTGCCAGCACTGTGTTTTATCTTGTCTTTATTCCTGCCAGCTTCATAGGCAAAGTGTACCTTATGATAGTTTTGATTTAAATTTGATTTTTAAATACATTTACCCAGATGTCCTTTAGCTGATCTTCTGATATAAATTGCCTGATCTAGACTCAGGATTTTTAAAAATACATAATTATCATTAGATGAAACTACAATATGAATCCATATTTATGTTTGTTATAAGTATACTTGTACTCTGCCATACATCGGTCTACATTTATAACTCAACTCTGAATATGCTTTACTCTCTACAGCTGTGGACTATTGTGCCTCAGAAAACCATGGGTGTGAACACAAGTGTGTAAATGCTGAGAATGCCTACGTTTGCCAGTGCTATGAAGGATTTGCTCTTAACCCAGATGAAAAGACGTGCACAAGTAAGTGATAAAGAAACAACCACCACCACCACCTATAACTGATGTTATTAATGTAGGGACTGTGGCTATGGACACCTCCCTAGCAGCTATTAAAACCTGTTACTGTCAAGTGCATCTGACTCATACTAGCCCCAAGTGTGTCAGAATAGGACTGTGTTCCATAGGGTTTTCCATGGTGTAATCTTTTGGAAGATGATCACTAGGTCATGCTTCCAAGACGCCTTTGGGTGGATTCAAACTTCCAATTGCTTCATCTTTTGCACCACCCAAGGACTAAGCGTAGATTAACATGTGATTATGTGGTTGGGGTCTAATATCTTCTACCACTATTCCTCCTTTGTTAGGCCTTTCTTAACTTATCTTAAGACTATAAGACAATGTCTACAGTCCCACTGTATCAAAGTCACCTTTCTAGGAAGTTGATGAAGATGTCTTGTATCTGGAGACCAGAGGTGAGGTGATCTTCCAGCATTTGCTGAGTGCTCAGGCAACTAGACTCCCTCACTTCATGTTGACTCAGCCAGCTGTGCCCATCAACACTCACAGGGTTTAATGTTTTCATGGAAGCTTTGTGGCTTGTGGGCTTCAGCTCCAACTTCCCACAGGGACAGGAATATCGATGAGCTAAGAAGAGTTGAATATGGTTGCTTCTGGGGTAAGGGACAGATGTGGAGGGCGTTTTTCAGAGAACTGCTCTTTTTTCAAAAAACTGAAACTATTTAATTCTATTTGATTTTTACTGTATGCATAAAAGTCAAAATCAATTTGAGCTCCCAATATCAGAACATAAAATCTATAAAGTAAAGGTGATCACTTGTTGTACAAAAGGATGTCAAAGCATTCTTTTCCTTATTTATTTTTTAAACTTTTTACTGTGAATTGAGTGAAGGTTTACAGAGCAGATCATCAGTTTTACATTCATCAAATCATATACTTTTCTTCATTACAATGATTATAGTCCCTTCCATATACCATTTGTTGTTGTTAAGGGCCATCGAGTCCGTTCCGACTTATAGCAACCTGTGTAGGGTTTCTGAGGAGTGGCTGATGGGTTTGAACTGCTGACATTTCAGTTCAAAGTAAACTTGTGGTCCAGTGGTGCTTATCCTACAATTCCACACTGGGATGCTCTTGTACCATCCGTGCACAGTTTGGACCTCTAGTCACTGTAACTATTGCATTCCTCCCTGTGTCTCCTGCTACCTTCATCTTTCCTCCGCCAGCCTCCCTCTTGTTGTACATTGCCTACCCTGTCACCCATGTTAACATGTGTCTACCCTCTAGCCCCTGAATAATTCTTCCTCTACAACCCCACAACCATCATAGAATGTTTCTTTTATCAAGAAAACGTTTTCTTAAATTTTGATAAAGGAAACAAGGGTAAATTGCTATAATATGATGGACTTGACCTACACTTACGAATGTAGTAGCTCAAAACCAACTGCAAGGGAAGAAATCTTCACATTAAGGATCAATCCTATCCTCTCTATACACAGGGTTTATAGGGACGGGCAACTTAGACATAGGCTACTAAAATGGGGGGTGGGGATGGGGAAGCAGTAAAGGCACGAAATGATTGGCTTACAAATTTTCAAGAGGGAGTTTAGTTTCAGAGTGTGAAGAAAACCTTTTCACAACATTGGCCTTGTACAGTATTTGCCCTTTTGTAATTGTCTAATTTCACTCAGGACTTCTGGTATGGCACTGTAGGATCAGCACTAGACTATGAACTACAAGGTCTGTAGTTCAAACCCATCAGCTGCTCCTCGGAAACCCTATACAGGGTTGCTGAGTTGGAACCAACTCAATGATACTTAACAACATCTTTTTCTTTTTTTTTTTTAATGTCTTGTGAATTGTGTGATAGTTTACATGGGAGAACATTAGTTTTACATTCATCCTATCATATATCGTTTCATTGTTATGGTTACAATCCCTTCCATGCATCATCAACCAACCAAAGGGTATACCCTGCAAGCCTACCCCCCAGTCGTCAGCACACAGCCCCTCTCCTTCTCTGGGTCTAACGTCCCCAGCCACTCCATCTCTCCACGTCATTGTCTCTGCCTTCATCTCTGGCATCACTGTTTCTCTAGGTAGGGTCCCACTCTCTGCTGTTCTCACTTGATGGTCCCAGGGACCTCCACTCCTAGACTGTAAAGTCAATCACTCCCCTCCTTTGGCTACAAAATGTCTATCTTTACATTTCCAACCCTCACAATCAGTGTGATAAAAATTATTCACTATTGTATCACAAGAGACCTATCTGCATCTCTTTTCATAATCCCCTCCCAGACAGATTGGATACTACTCAGTGGAGATTCTACCTTCCTCCACGCCCTCTGGATCTAGGCTCCTTCTTGAAAGCTTGTAAGCCAGTCACTTCTTGCCTTGGTAACCCCCATTTTGGGTAAGGAGCTCTGGTAGTGTAGTGGTTATGAATCTGGCTGCCAACGGCAAGGTCAGCAGTTCG